ACCGATTCTTCACGATCCCGTAAACTCCTTCATATTGTTCGGTCCACCAGCCTTCATGTTATACCTCTTCAGCCTACTCACCAAAATACTTGTGGTGATGACACATGGCTGGATTTAATCCTCACCTCCAATCCCTCCCTTGTCACATCACATGGTCAACACATCGCTCCTGGCTTCTCCCATCACGACCTCATTTTTATTTCCTATCTCTTTAAGCCTCCCAAATCCTCTCCCAAGGTTCTGCACAGGCGTTCATTCGCGCGTATGGACTTAGGCAAACTAAAAAAGGATGTCTCGGAGATCAACTGGGACCCTTTGTTTAATGCTTCTACTGTTGATGAAAAGGTTAAAATATTTAAAGACACTATGTTAAACATTTACGATGTCCACGCGCCCGTCAGAAAGGTGAGACTAAAGCGTCAACCAGCCCCTTGGATGACAGTGGGTGTTCAGATGGCGATGAGACGAAGAGATCGTACATTTCGAAGTTACAGAAAGGATCGCTCTGACGAAAAGTGGAAGCTCTTCAAGGCTGCTAGGAATAGATGTAATCAGATGATACGTAACGCCAAACGCCGATTTATTCTCAACAATCTTTCTTCTTCATCTTTTGCTGATATCTGGAAGTTTCTCGGAACGCTAGGTATCGGCAAATCGCGACATTTGGACCTATCTAAATCAATAAACTTAAACGATCTCAATTGTCATTTTACCTCCACTATAAATCTGGATCGTTCTCTTACAACAAGCACTGTTGCCTCTATAGATGGTTTAACGCGTCCTAACATTGCCCCTTTCCATTTTTCACCAGCCACATCGTCAGAGATTAAGAAGATAATACTTTCGATCAAATCTAACGCGATAGGATGTGACGATATTAGTCGTCGCATGATCATCACTATTCTGGACCCTCTTCTTCCTGCTATAACCCATATTATAAATTCCTCTCTTGACACTGGCACTTTTCCTATTTTATGGCGTAAAGCCTTTGTACGCCCCCTTCCCAAAGTTCCCAATCCAACACAGCCTAATGATTTTCGGCCGATTGCCATCCTCCTTTTTATGTCAAAGGTGCTGGAGGCTTGTGTCCATAAGCAATTCTCTCAATTCGTTCACAAAAACTCATTAATGAACCCTCTCCAATCCGGATTTAGGCCCGGACATAGCACAGTTTCAGCGCTTTTAAAGGTGACTGGTGATATTAGGGCGGGAATGGAGAATGGTAAAGTCACGTGCTTAGTTCTGATCGATTTCTCCAATGCCTTTAATACTGTCAGTCACGATATTCTCCTTTCCATACTATCCCATCTTATGGTCTCTGACGAAGCATTGACTTGGTTCTCATCCTATCTTCGGGACCGCCTGCAGTTAGTCTAGTCTGGGGATTCTTCCTCATCCTGGCGCAGTCTGGAAACTGGTGTTCCCCAAGGCGGTATTCTTTCTCCTCTTCTTTTCTCAACTTTTATTGACTTTATCACTCACAAACTTCAATGTTCGTATCATCTTTATGCTGACGACTTACAACTATATACAGAGGCAAGCATTGACAATTTAAACGACGCCATTGATGCTTTAAATAGTGACTTAGTCGCTATCAAAACATGGTCGGATAGTTTCGGTGTCACTGTCAATGCTTCAAAATGCCAAGCCATTTTATTAGGTGGGTCAAGAATGATGAGCAGAATTAACAGCAGCGGCCTTAGTTCCATTATTTATGACGGCACTGCAGTTCCTTTCAGCAATGTCGTAAAAGATTTAGGATTATATGTGGACTCGAGTTTTAAATGGCAAGATCAAGTAAGTAGTGTCTGTCAAAAAGTAACGGGAACTCTGCGTGCTCTTTATCGCCTGAAAAAATTTCTGCCGGTCAATATTAAGGCAAGGCTTGTGCAAACCTTAATATTTCCCATAATTGACTATGGTGATGTGTGCTACCTCGACCTGAATGCAGATCTACTCAATAAACTTGATCGACTTCAGAATTACTGCATTCGATTCGTTTTTAACCTCAGAAAATATGATCATGTGTCCGCGTATCGGTCTGACTTAAAATGGATGCCTATTAGGCAGCGCAGATGTATGCGGGCTCTGACCACTTTGTTCTCTTTGTTAGATTCTCCAAATGCCCCCCCTTATCTCACTTCTCAATTTCAGTACTTATGTACCTCTCATCCTAAAAACCTTCGATCTTCTTCTAATCGTTTACTTGTCGTTCCCTCTCATCGCTCTGATATCACTCACTCTTCCTTCTTCATCAAAACAATTCATTTGTGGAATGAACTCCCGTTGGCCATTAGAATGTCCACCAGCAAATATAGCTTTAAAACCAAGCTGCGAAGCTTTTTACTGGAACAGACAATTTCGTTTAGTAGTTAGTCGTCATTATTATGTATTAATTTTATGTAGTGTTATTTTATTATATGTTTACGTATGTGTATGTTTATATATGTATATATATATATATATATATATATATATGTATGTAATTGTATATAATTACTGTGTAATTTAATTATTATATATTAATATAATATTTATGTTGAAATGTGATTTACTGCTTTAAATGTGATTTCCACCTCACATGTGCACCCTACCACTAATCTTCTCCACAACACCCTATGGTTGACTGGTAGAGAATGCCTACGGCATTAAGTCCGCCATTGTACAATTGTGCATTAAGAATTAAATAAATAAAGGAGGAGGTGGCTGCTGGTTTTTTTTTTTATTTCCACGGGTAGTTTTCTGATTAAATAGATCTGAATAATTTAAATGTTTCGTTATTGCTCATAATATTAGCCGTTTCGGTGAACGAGAGTAACAATAGAGCAAAACATAAATAATATGCGTCGTGACATGTGTAGACAGACACGTTGGACGTCCGCGCTGAAGATCTTTGTTGCGTGCCACATAAATCTACAACCAACAGATTAATGGCAGACGTATCTGTGGACGTTAAATACTCATAACAGACGCGTAAACTACGTCGGCGGACTCATCCAGATGCATCTACCGACGTGTAGAAGAGGCATGAGGAATGTCACACGATGCGCTGCAGTGCCTCATCGGACTTGAAACGGCTGATATGAGTCGGGGAGGGGTGAATGCGTTGCGACGTCGCAGAGAATGCGACATAGAGAATGTACGATGCTGAGGCGCCGGCTGCGGCATTACAACGTTGCGACTCTGCACCGCTCGTGTGCCCACTGAAGCGGCGAAATCTTTGCGATGCGACCCCGCTACGCATCGTGTATTCGCATACTAAGGTTTTACAGGTGGAAAATCTCCTATACCCCAAGTACAGACAAAAACAGATCAAGTTACCTAAAACTGACAAAATTCTCCAACAATATGTGAAATTTTGTATGTAACAAACATACATACATACTCAATAACGCAAAAACTACTGAACGGGTTTGGATGAAATGTACGCGTATAGTTTGTGACCTGGATTGTTAGTACAATACAAAAAAATGTAAGGTTCCTGTGGAATTCTCAAAAAACTAAATATAAAGCGGACAAAGACGCGGCGGCCGCTAGTCTTGCTTCCTACCAATATAATAAATGTGAAAGTTTTTATGTTTCCTACTAAATCATGCATAAACGGAGGACCGGATTGGGATGAAATTTGGCACACGTATAGTTTATCGCCTGGATTAAGACATAGGATACTTATTATCCCAGAAAAGTGTTAGGTTCCTGAGGGATTTTCAAAAAACTAAATTAAACACGGACGAAGTCGCGGGCGGCAATCACGCAAAAACTACCGAACGGATTTGCATGGAATTTTGTTCGCATATAGATCATAAACATCTAGATTATAACGTAAGAAGACTTTCCGGAAAAGTTTTAGGATTTTGTGGGATTTTTAAATATCTAAAGTTAACGCTGTCGTGGGCGGCGGGCTCGTTTTAAATAAGGTTCTCAATCCGTTGAGAAAATTTCTCAGATTGTGGTAACTTGATGTGTGTGATCTGTGCCAACATCTCAATTGAATAACTTCTTTATTAGTTGTAAGAAAAAAACAGACTCAAGGGCAGTTTCCGTCGTTTCCTCATTAATAAAATAAGTATGGACCTTATTTCTAAAAGTGGACCTAAGATATAATAAGGTACAATACCCACAATCAAATAAGGTTAAGAAAGATCACAAACCTACTTAGTTTACGATATGTTGAACAAGCAACAAAAAATCCTGGTAATGTCTAATGATTGAGTGAATGAAATCTAATATCAATCCAATTGATACTAAGAGTAAATACTTCTTTCGAGCAAATCGATTCTTGACCCACTTGCCCGATATTTCGCTTAAAGATGTAAAAACAGACAAATTTTCATAGAAGAGAATGCGTAATTACACTTAGGACCTATGTACAAGTGTACTTGTACATAAAAATTAGCTAACACAGCAAACGTCACTCTGGCCGCGTATCGTAATAATAAAATATTATTTCTTTCTTTAAAGACGATTAGAAACGCGAACTAATTAACACATTTGAGAGAACAACAGCCTACATTTAACTGTAACTTTTTTTACAATATACCTCCCTCTGATCTTTTTCTACTGCACTCTAACTAACTACTTCTCATTAAAAGTGTACAAACTGTATAACCTTTAACAAGAATATTGTACTTATATGGATCAAAGTTACTTGAAATATGAACTTAGTTTTCAAAGCACTAGATCATCTTATAGATAGAATTGGATTAGCAGAAAACCCTTTTAAAATCATAAAGGTAAAAGAAATTACTCGGATTTCTTGATATTAAGAAAAACTTTGTTAAACTAATAAGAAAATCCTTAGTCTATAGGCATCTCCATACAGTGTAACGTCAACATTATGTCACAGGGAGGCGACAAAATCTGTCACGTCAAATAAAATTGTTAAAATATAACAAGTTTGTTTCCAGGGTTACGTACATTTAAGCGAGACCACTTTATTGTTTTGCCATATAAAAATAACGTGGCTCAGGAATCAAATTGGCTGATTATACTATACTAACCTCAGTATACACAGCAGGTGTATAGGAAAGTAGCACACAGCGAACATTATCACAACAGCCACCAGCATTTTGGCAGCTTTTCTCCTCGAACGAAGCTGAGCTGTGGACAATGTTTAGTGTAAGTTTTTTGCTTAATATTCAATTCAATTCATTTATTTCAGCCATTTAGCCATATAAAAACATAAAGACAAGAATAATAATAATAGCAGCATAAAAATTACGATCAAAATTGAATAATTAAAATAAATACAAAATTACTATGTCAACAAAAAATTACAAAATTAATTGTCGAGATATTCAATAATGGCTAGACCTGAGTTTTTGAAGTGCTGGCGGTTTCCAAGAATGGGTTTAGTTACATGTTTTGCTTAACAATTCGTTTAGCAATGGCCTTCGGTCTCTTTTTACCCGACTGCGCAATGCAAGAGCGCGAAGCGCGACGCGCAGACAGGGTTATATGTTTAACAGTCTATATATGTATGTTTGTTCCTTTGTGGCACACTAGAGACCAAACGCCTGGACCGATTTTGATGATTCATACATCAATCGATTCGTCTCAATCATGGGAGTGCTACTAAAGATATGAAATTAATCAAAATTCAATATGATTAAAATTAGGCGCCATATTGTGACGAAGTAAAAAAATTAGGTTGACAAAATATGTCGAGTGGGGTATCATTGTCTAGATAATCAAAACTCATGTTTAGGTTCCTTACACCATTTTTCATTTTATATGATTGTTTAGGATCTACAACGCTTTAAAGTTGTATATTAACCACTTGCGCTTTTAATTTCAATCTTACGTTTGTATGGATCTTTGTTACTCTTTCACCTAAAAAATACTGAATGGATTTTAATGAAACTTAACAGTAATATAGCTCATATATGATAATTACATATATATATAATAATTTATGTAGTTATTGAGTGAATTGACCAAAATATAACAATAAGTGTCATATAAGACGGAAAAAATCTCCCATCTGCGAGCCATTTTGGCCTGCACTGCAAAAACAATAAAAGTTACAGGAATGTAATGTAGAGTGAAAATGTATCTCTTAAATAGTTAAAAAAAAGTCCGTGACACCATATATCTATTTTTAATGTGTAAGCCATTACCGCTAAAATAGTGAATCAAAACTAAAATATTATTTTATATCTATTTCCAAAATGCACATTTTGTACCAACAAATTATTTTTTATCAAAACAAATACTTTTGTCGCTTTTAATATTTAAAGACGATAAACTTTGCCTTTTACACTATGTCATTTCGACAAATATTTAAAAAGTTACAATGATGACAAAGTGATAGCGCGGAGGAAGAGTAGACTGCGGGAAAACTAAGAGAAGAAATTTAATTTAAGTGTTTATTAACGTCGATAAAACCTAGACGAAAAAAAGGGGCTACTGGCAGTATCTGATCCTATACGAAGTACTTACAATAAAACTGTGATTCAGTTCCTTCCTATTAAATGATGAAAAATACATTATCATAATAGGTATTTATGATTATTGAATTTTAATGAAAACTGTTTTTTAACCATATTACTTAATATTACAAATAAAGGGTTACTTAATGTAATGACAAATAACCCATTTTCGACACCGAACTTCGTATCGCCATAAAAATATGGGTGGTAGAGGGGTGAAAATTAAGGGTTGTTTTGTGTTTCTAATATTACGATAAATATTTAACGTACTTTTTTTTTCTTCAGACGATTTAATAATTATTTTGAACACAAAATCGGTTATTGTGATTAAACCATGATAGCTAGATATATGTTCTTGCGGACTTTTTTGTAGGTCTTAATGGGATCTACAAACCCGTAGTACATCATTTTGGTCTATTGTCAATAGTTTTTGCAGCGCACGCAAAAATAGGTTTTCGATTTTACACCTTGTGTTACAAAATAGCAATTTTATTACGGATCCCTAATTTTGAAAAAAAAATATAGCCTATAACCTTTCTCGATAAATGGACTACCCAACACTGAAATAATCATTCAAATCGGACCAGCAGTTCCAGAGTTTAGCGCGTTAAAACAAACAAACAAACAAACTCTGCAGCTTTTTAATATTAGTATATATAGATAAATCAATCGTTTAGACCACCGCAAGGTACTTAATAATTCCTGCGATATTAATTCCCTTACTGAATTAACAAGATTACGGTATATACCGTCTTAAAATACTATCTAACTAAAAAGTGTGAAATAAAAAAAGCTAAATTTTAAAAATCAAAAAACCATTATTGAAAAATATTATGTATTCTTGAATATCTAATGGGTCCCGACTGTTAAAGTAGCTTTGTTCCTTATTAACAGAATTATAGATTACTGGACTTGTTTTTTTCTTTTCAGTTTTTATTTGAAGTATAATTAAGCAGTCGGGTTTTTTGATTTTTTAAATTTAGCTTTTTCTTCCTAATCTCATTTTGTCTTTTATGAACCCTTATAAGTTTACTTTCAGTATATCCTGGAAGGCATATATAAGCCGACCATGGAGTTCTTGTTCAGTTTCCTATTCAAATTCACGTAATCCATAAAGAACAATTTTTCTTGATTGGTAACTATCTGAAGTTGTAATCATTGCATCTGTTTGGGTTCTAGGCGTGACAATCTTTGTTCAAGTTCCTTTAATCTATTATTTAAAGAGTCCTTTTTTGTATTTAATTTTTTAATTTGTGTAGTTAAGATATTTTGTTCTAAGCCTTTTAATAATATATCTTAGTTATTAATTTTATTTTTTAAGGTTTTTAGTTTTATTGTAATCGTTTAGTAATTATGTAATAAGATTGTTATCTTGGAATATTTTCATTATAATATTATACAATAAATATAATTTAAGTTATAAAATACTCTCATAGCTCATTTGTCTAGTGATTTAGTTCTATAAGTATAGTATGTCTGGTCTGCTCAAACTTTTTCTTCAAGATGATTTCTAATGCGCTAAAGCTTTTCTTAAATATTCTTTGATGAAAATCTTCCTTCCTATGTTGAAATACAGGTTTCCTATCCTAGTTATTAGAGTTTGTGAAACCTACTAGAATTGAAAATTGTAATTTATCAAACTTAGCTAACAAAATTGGAATAAATGGTTATTATTACTATATTTAGAAAGGCGAAGTCTATCCAGCCCAGTTTTTGAAATATTAATATTTTTTTTATGTTGTTCTTGTTTTTCATTACAATTTAATAAATATTAAATTAATGTTTTCTTCCTTTGTATAGATGAGCTGCTTTGATTAAGGCCGCGTTGTTTGTAACCTAGTTGAACAGAATAGAATAGAAATATTTGTAATTGCTCTCACAGGAATACATAGTTCATATATAGTTCATATATATAAAGGAGAACGGGCAAAATGTATGGAAGTCTGTCTAGGTACCAAGAATCATTGGAATTATTTTTTTATGTACTTTAACTGTTGTGATGACGGAAAGTCCCAAGGTGCTGTGTGAAACACGATATGATGCAATAAAACCAGACTTCATTCGCAAAAACAATATATGTGTTTATTTATATATTAATCATCAATCCTATTGGCTTTACACGGCACGAACCTTGTTATTAGTTCCCATGTTTTTTTATTATGTCTATGTTTTACAATTATATAACTATTTCATTTTTAAAAGAAATCCAGATTTCCTTTCTTTCTTTTTTTAATTAATTTAGTTTATATTGTAGAACTAACATGGTGAAGTACCAAAATAATTAGTTGAATGCTAGTTCTACTCGCACTTTAAGGGTTCTGAACATATAATATATTATTTAGCACCAGAAGTTCACATCACTAGTTGCATAAGATAGCGATGCTAGTCAAATGTAGTGACAAATCTTTATCATTATTACCAATCTATAGTTGTCGCACGATTAAAAGGCTTTTGCGTTCCTACACCTAGATACCGTCAAGTTATATCAAAAGTCAAAATATATTTATTCAAATTGGATCCAAAATACAAGTCTTTTGAATCGTCTATATTTTTTCTCCTATCACCAGTTTAGGACATTTTTTTTTCATTATGGGCACAACCAAGGCACAACTCCCTATTATTGTCCAGTGTCCTGTCTAACAAGTGCAATATAATGTCAATTACATCCCTGCTGACCAAAATTTAAGATAAATATTTTCTTGTCCTTACATAGCGAGACTGTGTACGGCCTCTTATTGACCATACATTTTGAGGCATATTGTACCGGTGCAAATCTCCTATATTAAATCACCTCTTTTCATTTCAATTAAATACTGGCTATTGTACGAATGCTCCGCACAATATGTTTTGGCTAGTTTACGCTGATATGATCCCAAAGTAAACAGTTTTAAATTATTTTGTGGCTGGGTTTAATATGTCATAACTTTTTTCATAACTTTTAGGACACTCCGCCATAACAACAAACATCCAAAACATAAAAAAAACCCTTTCTAATGATATATCGCATGTTATTATTGGTTACTAGGCAAAAACGCCTGTCCTCCTTTTTTCGTCAAAGACATATTAAATGCAAAGACAAATCTTTTAGTAATTGTGTAAAACTTTAACAAATGGTTTTTTTTTCTTTAGAAGAACAAACAATTTCTAGTTGACCGACTTAACCTTCTTTTTTATATTTTATTGATGCTTACTTAGAAGCTTGTTATACAAAACAAAAGCATTTTTACCTCACAATATACAATGGAATATTTGTCCCGCCTAAAACTTCTCTTAGGCCTGCCTTTTTTTGCTATATACATAACTTAGTATAGCGGGAAGAGAGACGGAGAGGGACAAATGTGCCAAGCAAATTTTTTTCACAGCAAAATCATTTGCTTATGGGGGAAAAATATATTTGTAATATGTGGTATATAACTTCCTTCTTAAGGAAGTAATAACTACTTAATTTAAAATAATATTCTGCCTAATAATTAGATTGTGTCGTAGCAAAAAAAAATCTACATATTAATAAGATCTATTAAATTGATAACCATTATGTGAAATGGCTGTCGTTTCTGCATTCTGCTCTAAGTTTCTGGGTTGCAATTCTTATTAATTTTTATGATGAGACCGAGTTTTAATTCTCGATTCGTGTTGTTCATAACTTTATAAATCTATTGATCATCACCC